GGGGGGGGGGGGGGTGGGGGGGGGGGGGGGGGGGGGGGGGGGGGGTTGTCGGGCAGCGTGGCCGCAAGCTAATCTGCTGCTGGGACAAATATTTACCAACAACGTGAGATTCCAGCATGAATAAAATATGAGCCTTTGGTTCCTTAGTAATATAATAGTTAATTGTCAGGGGAGATTGACATTTGGATTGTTATTATATAAAATGCAAAGCTGTGGCCTGGGGGCCAATGGAGCTGCCACCAAAAGCCTCCCTTACTCTGCAGGGCCCCTCCGTGCCTCCGCTACAAGATTGTCTTTTTTAATTAAGAAAGTTGGCTTTCTTTTATTTGTTTGCCCTGGTGGTGAGAGACTGTGTTGTGTTATGATCACACGGCTCCCTTTAGCTTCGTGTCGTACTGCTAGGTGTGTGTGTGTGTGTGTGCGTGCGTGCGTGTATAAGGAATGATAAGTCGACTTACTCAGGTCAGGCTTAGCAGCTCTCATGTAGAACTTGAGCTCAGAGAACAGCGGCCCATTGTCACTGGGCTCCTGTGGACACAACAACAACAACTGCATTTATGTCTACACAACTCCACCGGTGTGAGCGCTGCAGGAACAGGTGCAGGTCAAATGAGGTGCAGGTTTGTGGACAACTAGTCCCCAAACCTCTACAACTAGTCCCCAAACCCCTACAACTAGTCCCCAAACCCCTACAACTAGTCCAAGACATTTTAGAGGTTGTTTAGAGTCTTACCACTTTGATGACATAAGGAGCTTCAGCACCCACTGGTGTTGCAGAATTCTCATCCGCTGGGAACAAGAAAGGAATCATTTCACAAGTTAGAGGAACCTGAAACACATTGGTGCAATGGCAGGCTTTGCAGGTTCTGTCCTGCACAGCAGAACGTTGTATTTAAACACATGGAATAGCTACGCATTATAACTTCTGCTGTCTTGATTAAGTTTAGTTTGAGAAAAAGTCTGCAGTCAAATCATCTATAGATGTATTTTCAAATTACACGTTTGACTTTTGAACAGATTCATCTCCATCTATTATTACCCAGATATATGAGACCGAAGCCCCCCTGGCCGATCGGAGCCCCCAACTTCCAGGTCTTCTTCCCGGTGTCTGTTAGGACCTCTCCGGGTGGGAACTCCTCTGCCAGCTTCCTCTTAGCCGGAGCTCGGCCTTTCCCTGCCGCCTTGGCTTTAGGAGGCATCTGCAATGCAGTTATTTAGCATTACATGCTACGGTTAACTTACTCCACAGCCGAATTGATCTTGTGCGTAGGTGTTCTACGCGTAATGTTAGTTACATGGAGCTAATAGTTACACTGTTAGCGTATGACGCATGTGACCGAATTCAAAAGTATCGACAACTAAACAACAAATGAGAGGTTTCCCTTTCAGTGCTACGTGGGTGTCACGTTCTTCTATTTACCAGTGAAGTTACTAGTGTTAGCTAACCTCTACCTAGCTTCGCACGTTACCCAGTAGTAACGTTCACATTACCTGCTGCTTTCACGTTGGATAAGCATACGTTTAGCTAACACAAATGGCCAGTGTGTGTAGTGCAAAGATAGCAGTCTCCTTTCTTATGACAAAATGGCGTTAAAGGGGAAGAGTAGGTCAAGCAACACTATGTGAGGTGGCGGACAGAGTAACGTTACGCTTTTATAAATGTCGGTTAAAGTTAGCTGTGATGCTAACCACGCTGTCTCGTTAGCATCGAAATCTCACGCTAGCTGCTACATGACGTTTAATAAGAACAGCTCCTGGATACCTGTGACGCTGTCCGTTGGACTAAGAATCGCTAACATGTTTTATTAAATGATAGGATGAATACGCACCTTGACTTGGTGTTTATGGTATGTTTAGTCCTGAGCCGTATGAGGACCAAACTTCCCGCAAAACAACCGTTCAGGAAGTAGCGTCACGACGCTCTGCTATTCTATTGGTCGAGAGTCCGCTGCGTGTCTGACGACAGATGCATAGTAAGTGTATGTGGAATATGAGGTGTTATACATATACAGTCTAAGGGGTTTATTCAGCAGGTAAAACGGAAGCCTTTTGCTCTAATTCATAGTTAACGTTACATATTCCACAAATGCATTTCAAAGTCAGTGGTGGTTTGTATTTTATTAATGTGTTATAAACATGCAAATGGGTTTATCAGTTGTGTCTGGGGTTGCGTGCAAAATGCTCTTGAACATAACATCAGTCCACTTTGTATAGAGGTTGCATTCCTCACATCTCCTGCTGTTGACTTGTCCCTCGTGCTTCAAGAGTTTTTGATAAATGTGATTGTAGCCTCAGGTTCTTTTCTTTGGTTGTCAACAGCTGATAAAAAATAGTGTCTTAATTAGACACTCAGGATGCCGCTATAGCTTCATCTGTGACCTCAGCACTCTTCATTCTGACACATGGTATTAGTGGTAAACACTTGTATTTTTACGGTAAAATATAGAATCAAACTCCAACCTGAACTGTAAAAAAATAAATAAAAATTAGCAGAAAAAAATCTACTGTTGGCTATTTACTAGGGCGAAATTCTGACGTCAGCTGCCAGTTTTTACCATTTTTTTATTTACAGTGTGCACTATGCAGTGAAAACCTCTTGATCAAGAATGATTAACTGCTATGAGTTAAACAAAGCTTGGGACATAATCATTCTTATACAAGTGCTTCCAAAAAATTCTATTGTAATCCTCTTTTTTTTTTTACTTTACTCCCCTGATACTGCATTTCATAAATACAATTGTTGTTGTAATGCATTTGAAACATTGAATCAAATTCACTAAATAGCGAAGCTGTCCATTTCATTACTTTATATGTATGTCATCAATATACAAATGCAAATGAGATGGTAATCTGCATAATAAATAAAGAAAAAGAAGAAAAAATGGTTACAATGATCATTTGCTTTAAAAGTGATCTATTTTACTCAGACAGCTGTGATCACAAGAAGAGTTTTCCACTGCAACATAAACATAAAACACCTGTTAAAACTGCATTCATTCATTTCTTGGCCACGTTGGGGCATCTGTCATATCATCCCCTTATGTAGTTATTATGGCTAATTTGTTAGAAAACAGTTGTCTTTTTACACATCCAGCAGACACAGAGTAGCATTAGCATTCAGTTGAGTCATGTTTGTGTTCAGTTGATGAATGCAAGTCAAATATACGATCTCCTTTTATCTCTGGTTTGGTCTCTACCAACTCCTGAGGGATGTGTCTTTTTTATTGTTAAATGCTCAAATATGTTCAACAACCATTGTCTAAATGTGATGAGAGTGGATTTTGTGGTCCAGAAAACCAAAACAATGAGCTAAAATAGGCTATAAGCACATAGTGCTAAGTGAAACTACAAAGTTGGTTCAATGGGTTATAATTATCTGTGAATTAGTCACCATGAGTGATACATTTCATATAGTCATTTGAACTATTGTTAATATGAAAAAAGTCATGTATATGACATCTTAAATAAGATGTCACATACTTTTCTAGGCCACAGGGACCAGCCTCATTTTGAACTAGGGAAAATAAACAACGTTTTAAAGATATACCATACCTGCCCATCTCTTTGCATATATTGTCCTGCATGTTGCTGGAATTTGCTACGTTTGTATGGGTATGTAAATGTGCAGAGCCTTACCTATTTTGAATGTGTCATTTGATACAAATATATTGGGTTTCGCTTGCGAGCCGGTGCACAACTCATGAATAAGATATTGATTCTTTAGTGCCTTGTCTTTCCAGGTGATCACAGAGCGGAGAGAGCAGCACTTCACATGCAAGAGGGCAGACGGTACTACTGTTTGTACGTCAACTGTTGCACACATTTTGTGCTGCCTCTTTATATTATTATTATTATTAATTCAGTAACTGTTGCCCCGTGGCTGCTGGAGGAGATGCGCTGGATGTTGACACGTTGAGTGTTTACTGCTCAAAGTGAACTGACTCTTTGCTTTCAAATCCCAATTGGAAGCTCCGTGGTGGAGTCCTAAACAGAGGGATGACCCACTGTAGTGACAATGATGAGCAGAGTGATGACGGAGCAGAAAAACTCAGCAAGGGCCAGAAGAAGAGAAGTAAAGCAGAAAAGCATGTGTCTTTCCCCCCTGATGAACAGATAGTCTCCGGCTTTGCTGAGCACAGGGACACGGACAGAAAGGGTAAGCTGCTGTTGAATGTAAGTCTGATTCAATATCACAATGATGTCATGATGTCATTTTGGTGACCTTTGGTCATCTGCATTAAAGTCACCATAAATGGAAAGGGTTTTTTTAGATCAATATCATGTCAATAAAAGGAATGTTAGTTTCCAAACTATACACAAACTAAAAGCTACCATTCTTCAAGAAAACATTTTGCTGTTTATAGTTTTTTCTTTATAGTTAAGGCTTTGGTAAAGGATAAGCTATTCCAAATACAGCTGAGCAGATGGCAAATGGACTGTAGTTGTATATCTCTTTTCTAGTCAAAGCGCTTTAACACTACATGTCATCATTTACCCATTCACACCCATTCATACACTGATGACAGGGACTACCATGCAAAGGTGCCACCTGCACATGACTATCTACTCATAGATACCCATTCATACCCATTCATACACCGCAGGAACAGTCAACGGGAGCAATTTGGGGTTAGTTGACTTGCCCAAGGACACATCAACATGGACTAGCGGAGCCCAGGATCAAACCGGTGTGCCTGCGCTGTATCAATGGGTGTGAATAGCTGAATGACATGTTGTGTGAAAGCGCTTTGATTGGTCGGAATAGAAAAGCACTATATAAGTACAGTTCATTTAGCATTTAACTGAAAGTGGAACCATCTCTACTGGTTTTGTTAATGGAGTCTTGTGGCTTTGAAGAGAGCATAGATAAGTTTCACTTTTAGTTCAGTTCCCAGTTGAAAGGACTGTCTGACGGCAAGGTAAAGCAGTAAAAATATTCTTTCCGTATATATTCTTTTCATTTTGCTGCTGCCCCCATCTACAGCAGTGCATTACTTTGCACATGTGCTGGTTCTCCTGTCTGTTTCTCCAAACTGTGGGCGTGCTGACCATCATCTACTGTAGGTAATACACTGACTGTGGAGAAGAACCTCATACAAGCCCACGTTAGAAAACCCAAACTATCCCTATAAACCTGACATGATCACTTTTGAGATGGTTGCAGTTAATGCTACCAAATGTTGGTCAAGTTCAAACTGCTTCTTTAAAACAGCAATGCCAGGCTGATTCCCAGTCTGTGTTCTAAGCTAGGCTGCCATGTCCTAGAACTATTATGGATTCACAAATATTAAATCAACTAATCTACTTATCTGATTGGGTAAATTAAAAACAATCACTAAATACTATTTCTCTTCCTAGTTTGACATTTTGTAAAATACACGATTCTACGTCAGGATGGGATTAGCTTGACTTAGCATGAAGACTGGTAGCAGGTGGAGACAGCTGCCCTAGCGCTGTCCTAAACTAATCATTTTCATATTCATCATTTGTTAAGCTGTACTTAGATGTAAAACGGCACCTTTTTATGCAAAGTCACTTGCTGTAACTATTTAAAGGCCGGGGCGCTGACATCCCAGTTTCTTTGTCACCTTGAGATCTCCAGGCAACGGAAAAATGTTTCAAAGCAAAATGACACAACATGGCTCCCTCTAAAGCCACACATTGTAAAACCACACCTTTTTTAAATTTCTGTGTGTGTCCGTATGAACAAACGAGACACAATGGGCTCAGTTGTTTCTGTTTATATTTGAACTTTGGACAGAGCCAGGCTAGCTGTTTCCCCCTACTTCCAGTCTTCATGCTAAGCTAAGCTAATCACCTCTTAAATGACTCCAAGTCCAGTGAAGAGAATTAGAAATAGAACGTAAAGGAGAAAAAAAAAAAAATAATAATAATAATAATAATTAAAAAACAAAAGTATGTGTGCATATGGATGTTCATGTATGCATGTACGTGGGTTTCAATTGGTTGTCAGGCAAGAAAAACAACAAAACAAAATCAATAATAGCAATAAATACATAAAAAAAAATAGATATATACTATACAAATTTTAATATTAATAGGATGGGTGATGTCACGTTTGCAGAAACATAGTGAGGGATGACAAGGTGGAGTGGTGTTCTGTTGTATTGTACGTATATGATGGACGAGGTTAGATTGTCCATTGAAATATATTCTATCATTAAGTTTCTCCAGTGTGTGATGTGTGTGTTATTTCTTGATTTCCAGTTCATGAGGATAGTTTTCTTGGCGATAGTTAGGGCCACGAGGAGTAATTTGCGATTTGTTTTGCTCAGATTTATTGTTGAGATGTCTCCTAGTAAGCACAGTGAAGGGGATAATGGGACGAGGCAGCCCAGGAAGACAGACAGTGACTCAGTTATTTCTTTCCAAAAGTGATTAACTGGTGTGCAGTGCCAGGTGGCGTGAACATAGCTATCCGGGCTGTTTTGAGTGCAATGTGGACAGATATCTGACGTGAATCCCATTTTAAACATTTTTTGCCCAGTGTAATGAATTCTGTGAAGTATTTTATACTGTATTAGTTGTAAATTGGCATTTTTAGTCATGAAGTAGATGTTATTGCAGATTTGGTTCCAGAAATCAGCATCAGGAGTGATGGACAGGTCTGATTCCCATTTTCTTGATGGTATGGATGATGTTTTGTCAGACTGTGATATTACTCTACATATTTTTGAGATTAACTTTTTTAAGGAGGGGA